CCTGCATCGGCAGGCGGACTCTCAAGCACTGCGCCACCAGGGAAGCCCTCAGAGTTAACACATTTCTGCTCCAAGCAATATACTTTCTTTGACTACTATCAACCACTGTATCATATTTATTAAGTAACTAACTGGTAGTCTAATGCTACTTGTGGGATATAGTCTGCATTTCCAGCAGAGTTTATTTTGCAGGTCTTCGACAGTATTGGATTTGAGGCTTTGGGGATGGTTATAATGTGCTTTTACCCCCTTGACACGAAAGGAATTTAATATTTATTGTAAAAAAATTGGGTAAAACAGAAAGAGGTAGAGAAGAAAATAATCACCCTAACCTACCACCAAAGAATATTCTTTCATATATATGTATATATAAAATCTGTAAATCGTACCTCAATGCAATTCTGAATCCTGCTTTTTTAAACTTAACATTATTTTGTGATTAAATAATCCATATAATTAAGTTGTTTATGAATATTTTAATGATTTCATATAACTGTACCATGATTTATTTAACCATTCTCTCATTGTTAGATGTTTACATTGTTTCCAGTTATTTGCAATTATAAAGAATACCAGGATACAGACTTGCAACTAGTAGTTAAATAAGTTCTTGGTTGGGGGGTGGGAATCTAACACACAGCATAGTGATTATAGTCAACAAGTGGGTGGGGTGGGTATCTAACGCACAGCATAGTGATTATAGTCAACAAGTGGGGGGAGTGGGAATCTAACGCACAGCATAGTGATTATAGTCAACAAGTGGGTGGGGCGGAATCTAACGCACAGCATAGTGATTATAGTCAACAATACTGTATTATAAACTTCAAAGGTGCTAAGAGACTAGATATTAATTGTTCACACCACAATAAAGAAATAATTATGTGAGGTGATAGAGGTGTTAGCTAATGCTACGGTGGTAATCATATTGCAACATACAAATGTATTAAATCACATTGTACACCTTAAACTTACACAGTGTTATATGTCAATTAAAAAAAAAGAATACCAGGATGAATATCTTTATGTTAATCTTTGCACACATTTATAAGTGTCACCTTAGAATTTATTCTTAGAAGTGAAATTATAGGAAGAAGGGGTATGCAGTATATAAGCCTTTTGATAAATATCAACCAGCTGGTTTCTGGGTTAGAAAATTTTTGAAAAATTCTCTCATGATACTCGACCACATTTATAAAACATCACTTGAGAAATAGAAGAGTCAGTATAATCATTTCCTAAAGAGCTTATGAGCAACTGAGTATATTTATCTTGAAATGGAAGTAATTATTTATTTCCTTAAAATATAAGATGCTCATTTCTATATTTGTTATAGATACAACCCAGAATTTGCATCAGTTCTCTTCTGTGAGCCTTAAATGTTTAGCTAGGACACTGCCTTTCCCTAATGGCTTTCATCTGCCTTTCCAAGTGATATCAAGTGCCAGCATGCTGTCCCTGGGCCTTATCGGTGACAGGGTCTTCAGAAGGAACAAGCCCATAAACGCCAAGTCATTGTGTGTGAGGGATAGGCCGCTTCAGCCAGCAGCTGATTACCTGCTTCTGGCTCCCAGCCCAGCTGACACTGCTTAGGAAGAGGCTTTGAGATCTAATTAAGATCCGTTTCCCTGCTCTGTCACAGCACCCTGTAAAGACTGCCAGGCAATAATGAAGGTTCTTTTACTGAAAGACCCTAAGGAGGACGACTGTGGCCAGGATCCCTACATCAGGGTAAGTACCTGACACACTTGGTCCCCGAAAGCCCAACACTGCCTCGTGATTGAAGTCAAGGGGAGGGTCCATCTGCTAAAACTCTGAGGAACTGGCACAGAATAAGTTGTGAAATAGGACCTTTTCCTTATTTTCCAAACAACCCTGGCCAATTCAAAACCATATTCTTTTACCTGCAGGAATTAGGATTATATGGACTCGAAGCCACTTTGATCCCTGTTTTATCATTTGAGTTTTGGTCTCTTCCCAGTTTTTTGGAGAAGGTAAGATTCATCAGTGTCTGAGCACCATCGTTTCTGAATGAGACACGTTTGGTTTCTGTAGAGTCCTACAGAATTCTAGGGGAAGGACCCGTTTGCTAGCCCTCATCTCACTACCCAACTGTAAAACAAGGACGGCACGAGCTCACCTGCTCCAGGACTTGGCTGCTACTGGATCCTCGGCCCGAGCCTCTACGAGCGGCCCCAGAAAGCCGCCCGACCTCGAGGTGGCCCGTAAGGAGGCCTGGGAGAGCCAGTCATGCTGAAGCACCAAAGCCTGTGCTGCTCTTGGCCACGCAGACCCTTCACCTTCCTCCTGTCATTCAGTCCACGCCCCTGACCTCAGCAAAGCGCGGAACAGCTGTTGCTTCTCCCCAGGTTGGGCAGCTTGGCGGAGTTCTCCAGCAGATAAGAGGGAGAGTTGGGACTGCTTCCATGTATTGGAGCAATAGTTATGGCCAGGGAAAGTCCCAGGAAAGCCCTCCAAATGCTTCCGATTAAAGATTCAGGGCCCAGCACCCCAGGCCCCATCAGTGTGTACCCCGTCACCGGACATCTCCCCGGGGGCACCGTTCTGGACTTGTGGGCCCAGAGCCAGGGCGGCTTCATGGGACTGGTGTGCCCAGCCCTGCCCACCGGGCTCCCGGGCCGCTGTGAGCATCAGGTTCACCCCCATGCTCTGCATGTCAGAGCCCGTCTGTCACTCTGCGGAGGACCTCTCTGCTATCTCCCTTCGCTCTGAGCTGAAGATTGAATTATTCATTCAGCAGTTTACTCAGCAAACATTGATTTGGCATCTGCCCTGGGTCTGTGTGCTGTGAGGAATGTATAAGGGACCCACATCGCATGCTCTTCCGTAAGCAGCTTTAACAGGGAACCAGAGCTCATCATTTGAAATCTTTGCTAGGACCCTGTGCTCAGAAAAATACTAGAGTCTCTGTGGGAGCTTCTCTATCACCCCCAGCCAGTTTGTTTCATGAGGGGCTTCCTGGACTCCCTCTCTGAAGCTCCTGTTGGGCAGTGAGCGAGCGCACGGGCTTGGGAATCACAGGGGCATGTGCTCAAGTCCCGGCTCTGCCCCTCACCTTGGACTAGTTCTTTATCCTCGCCAAGCCTCTGTGCCTTAATCCGTGCGATGCAAATAGTGCCACCCGTCTCACAGGGCACTTTCACAGATTCAGTGCAGGATTATGTGTATAACAGCCCAGTGCCCAGCTCAGAATACATGTTCAGTAGATTTTATCGCCATTTTTATGCTCAAAAACCAGGGCTTCAGCGTGGATATCACTCCTTGAATATTCCAGCTTTCTTATGGATGCAGGTCAAGTCTACCGTCCTGCCTGCACCCCAGCCACACCCAGGCTGAGTCACATTGTCCCTTGGCTCCGTTACACCTGCCACCCTGCATCACACTGGCCTCTCCCTCCCCAAGACTGTGAGCTGCTTGAGGGAAATGCTGTGAATTTACCTGTATGTCCTTAAAGGCCTAGAGTAGTTCCAGGTGCGTAGTAATCTCTGTCTTGAGTGGTTGGATGGATGGATGGATGCATGGAATTAGTTTGCCTGCTACTATTGTGAAGCATTTAGAATTCTGGAAAACGTTGAACTTGGCGATCATACAAAATGCCTTTACTGTTGTTTGGTGTGCAGCTGTCTCACCCTGAAGGTTACGGGGGCCTCATTTTTACCAGCCCCAGAGCAGTGGAAGCAGTGGAGCTGTGTTTGGAGAAAGACAATAAAACCGAAGGTAAGGGTGGGTCTGCTGTGAATGCCACTGGACTTTGCTTTGTCCCATTGGTGATACTAGATTCCAGAAATAGCTGGACTTCAGGTTTGAGAAAGTGCAATGACTTATAGTCAAAAACTATTTAGGTACCAGGTTACTTCGTGTTTTTGGAACCTTTGGAGGGAGCAGAAGATGAAATTCCTTCTTCTAAGCTGTTTCTTAGTGTCCCACACAGAATGACATGTTACGTGGTAGCCTTCTGACGGGGGTGAGCGCTTCGGGGCACTGTGTCACCAGGAAGCAGGAGACGGTGCTACCTCCTAAATGCCCAGACGGGTGCCGCTGGGGGGGCTCTCCACGTGCACCCACCAGGGGGTCACAGTATACGGGCGCCAGTCTCTTTCCTCACAGGGACGATGGGGAGGTCCAACAGCACATGAGAACAGTGCGTGCCGAGCCAGCACTCGATGATGTGACCCCGCTCAGGCCTCCTTCTCGCTTCCTTCCCTCTCTGTCAGAGCCCAGCTCTCAGACTGAACACCATCTTAGTCTGTCCCATCAGACAGCTTTGAGCTAACATGTGTGGAGTGCCTGCTGTATACCAGGCTCTATGTTAGCTTGACATTCACGATCTCATTCAATTCTGGACCAGCCAGAGGCTCGCCTACCATGGTCCTCATTTTACAGATAAGAATGCTGAGGCTTGGGGAGAGTCAGCACCTGTCCAAGGCCCTGGAGCCAGTCTGTCAGGCCGGACCACCTCCACTATACTAACAGGGGGAGCCAGCGGGACGGGTGGTTACCAAAGGGCTTTGCAGCCAGTTAGGCCTGGCCTCAGATGGCCATTCTGACCTTGGTGGCTTCCTTGACCTCGCTGAGCCTCAGTTTCCTTGTTTGTAAAGTGGGCACAATAATACTTGCATCCCAGGATCGTCACTTCTGCCACTAGTTAGAGCTTCTCTAGGGCCTACTCTGTGCCAGACCAGGTCCTAGATGCTTTATCCCGGAGGGAGGTGTGATTAGTATCCCCACCTGACAAATGAGGAGCCTGTAGGGCAGAGGGTGTGAAACTCTCCAAGACCGCGCGGTCTGTAAGTCACAGTTTTATGGTTCTAGCTGCAGAGTCTGAGTCCCAAAGTGAAGCACTCAGGGCGTCTCCTGGTGCGTGGTGAGCACTGAGTAAGTGACAGTGCAGGGTGGTCATCATGCGCTCTCTTTACAGTTAGTTAGGCTTTCGTTATAGCCAAAAAAATCACCAACTCGGTGATTTCATATACACAGTCACCTCCTGTTGAGGAGAAAGTCTAACGCTTTTCTTAGGGATGAGGACTTGGGCTGTCCAATCCTCAGGGCAACTCAGAACCGGAAGTACCGTTATTTCCAAAATGGAGAAAGAAGACTCGAGATGGAGAAGCGTGTGTATTCTCTCCCAGTGGTGCTTTGGGAATCTTGGTCTCACAGTTGTGCTTTCCCTTTTGTATGTGTTTTGAGGATGAAGATGATGAAAAAGAAAAAAACCCCAGCATGGACACCATAACTTTTTATAATGCTTTGTAGTTTAAAAAGCATTTTCCCAGCATTTTCTTTTGTTCTCTTTTTTGGTGGAAGTATAGTTGCTGTACAATATTATATAAGTTACAGGAGTACAATATGGTCCATACGTTTTCTTACTTTGATTGTTACAACAACTCTATGAATACAGGCAGGAGAGGTGTAGTTAATCCCCGTTATCTCGACAGGGAAACAGAGGAGGTAGGCCAGCTCACTTGCCAGGAACGAGCCCAAGTTAAGGGGCAGAGCCAGCTCTGAAGCCGGGCATTCTGATTTCACCCAGGGCTTGCTCCAGCTCATATCTACTATGATGCTTGGAGAATGGTTTGTTCATATGCTGTAGATAATGTTTAAATAAATATTATTTACGTTTGTGGGGTGGGAAAGGAAAGAAGGTTAAACTCAGTCTTTTATCGCTTTTTAAAAGGGAATTTCTCACAGGAGTGTAAAGGGTAGAGTAACACTGTTGAACTTAAGGGAAAATTACGCTCATAGTCAGATCTTAGGAAGGAAGAACTGGTGTTTCCTTATCCTCTAAAAGGATGTTGAATGCCAAGTGGCCTTGTGATACATTTATACTATCCACTTTCTCTTGGTTTTTCTTTAATCCATATTTAGAGATGTTTATTTTTTGTCATCAAATGGTAGTGTTCTCTATTAAGTTGTGTTTGTTTATGAACCTGATATTTATTCTCTTCTTTGACCTAATAGATAAATGAGCCTTCTCACCTGAGATGACAGTTTCTTGACTGCTTTCAGATTTACATCCCGAATAAAACCAGTCATATTGCTTTATTAGACATTTAAGTTGCCTCTTTTTCACGACCAGTAATTTTTTCTTTAAAAGTCTAGATTTGGGGGGGACATCCCTGGCTGTCCAGTGGTTAGGACTCAGCACTTTCACCGCCATGGCCCCGGGTTCAGTCCCTTGCTAAGATCCCGCAAGCTGCATGGCACGGCCAAAAAAAAAAGAAAAAAGTCTAGATTTTTAAATTTTAATATTACCATGCAAATTAATTCTTCAAGTTATGTTTACTAATATGCATTAAAAATGCTTCTAGTGCCAACTGTGGAAATGATTTAATACTTAATGCCTTCAATAAGGAAGGCATATTGAAACATTTGCCAAAGTGATTTTAAAAAATTTGCCTGCAGAATATGGACAGAATATAAAAATGGATTTTAGTTTGAGGTGCTGTTCTTTATATTTGGTTATTAATAATTTTCCTTGCTCACAAGTTTTTTAGGATGAACAAACAGCCTTGGGCAGCAGTCCAAATGGCCACTTTGGTATTTGCAACTCACATCAAATTTCATGTTTTACAGTCTGGAGAAAGTCTCTGCAAGAAAAATGGAATGCTAAGTCAGTGTATGTGGTGGGAAATGCTACTGCTTCTCTAGGTAAGCAGTCAAGGTACAAATAAAACACCAAAGAATGACTGTGATATTGTGATTATAATAAGAAATATATATTTGGTCTTTGTCCCTGTTCCTGGCACAGAGCTCCTAAAACCCTTGGAATTTCCTGAGTGATAAAAAAGATAAGGTGGGGCTTCTCTGGTGGCGCAGTGGTTGAGAGTCCGCCTGCCGATGCAGGGGATACGGGTTCGTGCCCCGGTCCGGGAAGATCCCACATGCCGTGGAGCGGATGGGCCTGTGAGCCGTGGCCACTGAGCCTGCGCGTCCGGAGCCTGTGCTCCGCAACGGGAGAGGCCACAGCAGTGAGAGGTCCGAGTACTGGAAAAAAAAAAAAAGATAAGGTGTATTTTGTTATTCATAACAAACCTCTTTCAACTCCACCTGAGTTGACTTTTGGAAAGCCCCTTAAATTGGAGGCTAGTTGCCATGGGAACCAATCCTCCAATTAGAGTAGGAACTTTCAGCCTCATGCCCTCCCTGCCTCCTACTTCCAGAGAGAAGACATCAGCCAGAGGTTGAATTAATCACCAGCGACCAATGATTTAATCAATCATGGCTGTGTATGAAGCCGCCATAAAAATCCAGAAGGACCGTAATACGGAGGGTGCTGGGAGGCTGGAGCCAGGAGAGGGCATGGAAGCTCAGGCCCTCCCCCCATACCTGCCTGATGCATCTCTTCCATCTGGCTGTTCATTTACACCCTTTGAAATAGCCTTTGTAATAAATATGCAGTAGTTAGTAAACCATCTTCCTGAGTTCTGTGAGCTGTTCTAGCAAATGATCCAACCCAAGGAGTGGGTTGTGAGAACCTCCGATTTAGAGCTGGTCAGTCAGAAGCACAAGAAGAGACCTGGGTCTGAAGTGGGAGCAGTTTGTGGGACTGAGCCTTCCATCCTCGGGATTTGACGCTGCCTCCCAGTAGAGAGTGTTAAGACTTGAGTTCACTCGTAGGACACCCAGCTGAGAACTGGAGAATTGCTTGGTGTGGAAAACCCACACATTGGGTAACCAGAGTGCAGACGTGTGGTGATGAGAGCAGAGAAGGAAAAGAGGAGGTTTCCTTCCACACTGACTTAGCTTTGTTCATTGAACACTATAGTTCAGTTTAAAACATGATTTTTTTCCTTATTAAATTTACAAAAAGTAATTAATTAGTTAACTATATAATGCTGCTGATAAGGGTGCGGTGAAACAAATGTATTCAAATATTGCTAAATGGCATTGAAATTTGGTTCACATCTTTTGAGAAGTGCTTGGTTGGCATGTATTCAAAAGCTTTGCCAAAATAGTTGTACCCTTTGGCCCACTGATCCCTTTTCTGGTAATCTGTCCAAGCTATTTTGAAGAAAACTTACAGAGAAGTTATAAATACAAGGCAAAGAACAATTTTTCCTGAACCTTTTGAGACTAAGTTGCTGATAATGATGCCTCACCATCCAAAGCCACAGGTCTAGGGAGGGCGGGGCTGGGACCCAGCTCCCTCTCGTCTCCCTATACCAGCCTCCAAGGGGAGACTTTCTCCATGTCATTTGTAAGGCATGTGCCTTTGTATTTGCACATTTAAAAAACAACACAGGAACAGGACTTTAATAACCATGTAAAGAAATATATTTTGTTGTTGTTGTTTTCCAGTGAATAAAATTGGCCTGCATACAGAAGGAGAAAACTGTGGAAATGCAGAAAAGCTTGCAGAGTACATTTGTTCTAGTAAGTAGAACAAGGTCGCCCCAAATGAAGCCCATTTATTTTTGTTGGTCGGTCTCACAACCAGCACCTCGGGAAAGGTCCACCTCCTCGGTGATGATGGTGATAATGTGGCTGATGAGTGTGTGCCGCTCCAAGACCATGGCTGCCTTGTATCTGCATCTGTCTGTGCTGGTCTGAGATCCAGCCTACTGCCCTCCACCCCCTCCACCCAAGGACTTGAGACAACTTGAACATGACACAGAATAAAAGGGCTGGAGGCAAAACCAGAAGCAAGACCCTCTGCAGGGATTGTAAGGGGAGTGGGAGCAGCAGAAGCTGCCGGCACCGTCCCTCTGTCTGCCGGCTCCCTGCCTTCCTGGTAGGAGTCTCTTCCCTGTCCGAATTCCCCCCCCACAAAGCCCGCTCCCCCTGAAGAGCCCACTCAGCCTCCCATCAGCTCATCACTGGGCAGCATATGGGCTGAGACTTAAAATGGCAAGGGTTCTGGGGATGCTTGTATTTAAATAAGGATTAAGCTTTGAACTAATTGTGACATTTTCGGCTTCTGACGAAACATGGGCCAAGATTTTTGGAGCAGAACCCTCCGAGAGAGAGGACTGAGAGGCTCGATGTGTACTTGCAGGGGAGCCCCACCTCCAAGTTGTGTGTCCCAGCCTCTCCCCTACACATCTGATCCAACTGCACACACATGCTCTTGTGTCCTTGTCACTTGGATCCCTCCCTGAGAGATGTGTGACATCAGACCCCCACGTGAAAGATGACACAGAACCAACTTGCCTTCTGTCACTGAGAGGGAATCAGAGCTTTGCTCCTCGGGGTCAGGGGTTGTGGAACTGTCTGCGAGGGCCAGATACGCCATCTCTGCGGCCACATCCTCTGCCCGTCGTAGCACGAGAGCAGCCGTAGACCATGGGCTGGGTTCTGACCTGGGTTTGCGGTTTGCAGACCCTTTCTAGAGCTTGCTGAGCTAGGAGACAGGGCCAGGTTGCCTGCTGATGCCTGAGGTTTTGCTCTGAGGTGGTCCCAGGAGAGGGGTGTCTTCTCTGCCCCTGGGGGGGTGGTTTCAGGGTGGGCAGGGGGCGAGGACACCTTAACCAGGAATTTTTACGGCTTCTGGGACCGTGGTGCATGGTTTTGTGTCTGGGCATGGTGTGTTAAGAACATTTCTTCGCCAGGTAACGATCTCTAAAGTCTTAGGAAGCCTTCCTGTCACGAGCCAGTGCTGTTGGTGAAGGTTCTCGAGCTCGTGTGTTTCTGTTGACCGCTAGGAGCTGGACCTGAAAAAGTCGCACATCCTCCACTGCCCCGTGGACCAGGCCCCCTGGAGCTCAGGCAGGGGATGGCAGAGGGCCTTCCCAGGTTTCCAGTTGGCTCTCCTTTCTCCACTTTTCTTTTAAGAATAATTTTATTTCCTCTTTCCTGGGTCACTGTATGCGCTGTGTTAACATCGAGGACGAGACGTTCCTGGGTGGTCAGCGTGTTCCTGGCGCGCCCCCTGCCTCGCCTCATTTGGTCCTCACTACCGTCCACTGCAGGCTGCACAGTCCAGTATGGCAGCCAGGAGCCACATGTGCCTATTTAAATTTAAATTAATTTAAATTTAAATTAATTTAAATTAATCGAAATAAAAATGTGGCTCACCTGTCACACCAGGCACAGGCCACAGCTCAGCTGTCACTGGCGGCTCAGGCACCACAGGGACAGCCTAGGGGCACCCAGCATCACCCAGCGCTCTTTTCGACAGTGCTGTTGTCCAGGCTACAGGGACCGAGTGACCATCCAAGGTCCCAGAGCTGGGAGGGGACAGGCGGGAGGGCAGACTCCACACGGCACGGCCAGTGTTCACCCCATGGGTCCTAATGAATCTTCAGTTCACACTTGGAATAACATCCACATAAGAGTCAATCTTGACTGCTGGCAGGACGTTCACCTTGGTTTTACCCAGGCGTTAATGATTTTCTCCCCCAGTCAACTCTGAAGCTCGATTTTTAAAAGCCAAGAATCAACTTCCAGTGCTTGGAGTAGACAGGCCAGTTCATAGTTATTGCTTATTTATTTTACTTAAACACTTATTTATTCTGTGACAGGCACTGTTATAAGCGCTTAAAGCTATTAGCTCACTTAATCTGAAAGCTCATCGTTCTGACAGACAGTTCTTCCCTCCTGGGATATCTCCGCTAAGGGAAAAGGGAGTATCAATACAAGTGGCCCAAGCAGAAGACAGTTCAACACTTTGAGAGAGAGCGAAGGAGGGGGAGGGTGTCAGAGGCAGACAGATTGTGCGCGTTATTTGAACTGTCCCCCTGGACTTGCGCTGAGCTGACCAAGGGCTCGTCCCTGCAGCCTCGCCCACTCGCTGGGCTCTCCTTCTGTCGCCCAGTCAGTCTCGTGGTCGTAATTACCTACGTTAAGTGCCCACCGCCTGCACAACTGGACCCTCCCTCACAGCAGGCCTGAGAGGGCGCGGTCATCGCAGTCCTGGAGGGTGTAAGGGTTCTACAGACACATCTCCAGCGAAATGACATTTACACGCTCAGTCTAGTTCTTAATCACCAGCAGTGACTGTGTACAGAGCCCCCGTTCCAGCTGCATAACGTCCTCTTAGGACTTTCAACACAGCTGCTGTCCTCAGCCCGACAGCCCAGCAGGCCAGGCTCCCTTCCTGTTAAAGGAACGCGGAGCAGAGCGTCTGAGCCCTGTGGCTCACCATCCCACGTTGGGTTAGACCCCTGCCGGGCCCCTATCGCTCCCTGTCGTCCTGGGGGCACCTCACCTCTCACCCCTGTGTAATCAACCGGCTTTTACATTGGCCTATTTAGCTTTGGCCTGTTTGGGTTAAAAATCAGTAGGCAGTGAGTTCATCCCAGAGAGGAAATTTTTTTTAAATAATGAATCATTTATTTTCCATAAATGATCTTATGACAAAGAGGAAGTGTTGGGTGGTTGAGCTATGCCGTTTTTGGAGATGCTGTCAATTCACATGGTGATGAGATGGGCCAGAGAGGTCCTCATCCACCAGAGGTTGTTTCCAGTAAATGTAACCAGTAATCTGCTCCATCTTTCAGTCATGGAAGAGCCCCGTGAGGAGTTTTGCTCAGGACATAATCCATTTGGGAGTGCTGATTATTTGCCTTTAACTTCTTGGAGGAGGTTAGCACCCAGGAAGCACAGTCACGGGATGTCTCTCCGCTCCTACGGCAGGTCTCAACCAGGACATTGTCAGGTTTTCCTCCCTTTGTGCTGCTATGGTGCTGCTTTGCCATGAAGCCAGCTGAGCTGGTTGGTCCTGCTCGGCCTGCCTCTGCACCGGGCACTGGGGTGCAGTGGGAAAAAGATGCCTGCCCTGCACCAGGATGTGCGTCCAACTCCCCATCTCCCTAGTAGTGACCAGCAATCAGAGAACACAGATGAGCAACTCAGTGCTCTGCTGGACCCGCAGAAGAAAGGCTGTGAAGGGCCGATTCTGGAATCTTCCGGAAGCCCCTTGCACACCCCTGGGGTTGAGGCTGCAGGAAAAGTAGGCCCCTGGTTTGGCCGCTGGTCCTACAGCTGCCCCACAGCAGGTGCTGGGAAGGGTCTGTGGGAGCCGCTTTGGTCCCTAGGCTCCTGGACACCCCACCACCAAACACACACACGGACATGCAGACACTGGAGGGACACCTGGGCTGTGGTTCAGAATAGCACCTGGTCATGGCTTTGAAAGTGTGTCACGAGGGATGGCATCTATACTGCGTGAAAACATTTCCTCACACTGGAAAAGAGAAAGCGGTGAGCATCTATTATATACAGTATATTTAAAAGTTTTCCAATTGCTTGTGTTCTTTTATGTCGGTACTGATACTTACAGAGCCGTTTAAATAAAACACTCGCCGGTTTGTAATTATTGGACAACTTGAAATAAGGACGCCTACAGTCATTCCTGTTATTTAGCTGGGCCTTCGTGGAGATGGTGCCGGAGGGGGAGAGCTTGGCTTGTTCCCCCCTCTGATTCCAGGCACCGAAAGGGGATGTGTTCAGAGAGATCTTCCAGATGTGAGGAAATGCGTCTTTGTGCCTGACCAGCACTCGCTACAGCTCCTTCCATCTGATGGACAGACGGAAGGGGAAAGCGGTCGCCTCCACTAAAGTGCTTTGTTCTCACAGTGCGGAGGATTCCCATCTGACCGCCCATCAGTTTTGCTGGGAGGTGGTGTCTCACACGCTGTCTCCACGGCTCTGCAGAGCAAGGCCTGCGGCTGAGTCTCCCAGGGCGGAGATGCGCGCGGGGACAAGAGGCTGGGCCCCCGCGCGGCCGGCCCTCAGCCCTCGGGCTCCTGGCCTGGCGGCCGAGAAGCGTCCTTACAGCTTGTCTTCGCTGCGGCGGCTGTCGTTTCCTGCCTCCTCGCGGCGGGAGCCCAGGCTCCAAATGCCTCCCGGCCCATCCGGGCTCCTCCAGAGGCAGAAACGGTTGCTCCAAGGCCACCATCAGGCCTGACCTGTAACCTGCCTCTGGTCACTGCACTCTAAGTGGTGACTGCTGCCCGGAGCCACCACGACGGGAGGGGCTTAGGGAGCAGGGGTGACAGCAGCCCCGGGCTCTTGTGGATGTTAGGTGTCTAGCGCTGTTGCCCACGTGACCCCCGTGAGCTTCCTCCTGCTCACGGTCCTGGAACCAAAGGCAGGGCAGGGCCCAGAGCCGCGCCTCCATCTACAGAGTCTGCCTGTTTATTTGCAGGGGAGTCGTCAGCACTGCCTCTTCTGTTTCCCTGTGGAACCCTCAAAAGAGAAATCCTGCCGAAAATGCTCAAGGACAAAGGTGACTCCCCCTCCTCTCTGGGGTCCACCGAGAGCCTTCACGGTGGCAGAGTGTCAGCCCTGGGAACCTACAGGGAGAGCAGGCCTGGGATGGACCGGCCAGGCCAGAAGGTGCAGGGTGCAGTCCTCCCTCCTGCTTCAGATCCGCTCCCATCCACCTGCTCAGCTCAGCTGGGAGCATGCAGAGGGGCGCGGAGCCTTCCCCGGGAGGACGAGTGGGCAGTGGTGTGGTGGCGACCCTGGGGCGGGCACGTGTGGAAACCAGTCCAAGCGTGGAGCTGATCTGATCACGCACTCAAAGCAGTGTCTGCCAGCCCAGCCAACCTAGGCTCGCTGCAACTCCATCCCCCCGGGCTCCATCCCAAGGTGCCAGGGACCAAGGTGTCCAGGCCCTAGTAGGCTCGTGGCTTCAGCCCCCAGGCTGGCAAAACTCCCTGCAAGCTCTGCCTGCAGCCCTGGCCCTCAGTGTGGGATTCTACACGGATGGCATCCATGGGGGAGCGTCCAGGGCCAGTCCTGCAGGCAGCCCACACAAACACGGGAACAAAAGGCGTCCGTAGTACAAAGGAAGGCTGAGTTTTCGGGACCCTCATCCTTCCTCTGCCATCTCAGCCTCCTCCACTCCGCAATGTTAAGCAGGGTGCGGAGGGCCGGCCGAGTCTGCTGGCACTGAGCCCACACCTCTCAGCTCCCAGCGGCTTGTTCCGGGAGGGTCCTGCAGCACCGGGTGGTCTCCACTACCTGTGCCCCGCAGTGTGTTCCCGGGGCAGTGAAGTCTGTCTCCTGGCTTGTGTCCCGATTGTGTCCAGGGATTCCCGTGGAGAGCTTAACCGTCTACCAGACGATCCCACACCCAGGAATCCAGGGGAACCTCAACAGCTACTATTCCCAGCAGGTGTGTGGGGTTTCCAGGGAGCTGGGGTGGACAGGGCGGAGGGACGCAAGCCTCCCGACGCTGGTTCTGCCATCCCCAGCTGTGCCCCATTGCGGAGCCTGTGCTCCGGATGCGCAGGCTCAGCGGCCATGGCTCACGGGCCCAGCCGCTCCGCGGCATGTGGGATCTACCCAGACCGGGGCACGAACCCGTGTCCCCTGCATCGGCAGGCGGATTCTCAACCACTGCGCCACCAGGGAAGCCCGAGGAAGCCATCTTTTGGCTCCATCTCTGTATCTGAGAAGTAGGAATAGACCTATCTCTAAGGTTTTTACAAGGATTAAAGGAGATAATTTATACAAAGCCCTTTGCACAGCCTGGGGTCAACAGTGGCCTTGATGTCATTCTTCATGGTGTGGGGCACTGGTGGAGCTACAGGGCAGAGGCTGGAGAGGGGCTGGGCCCACACCGGGAAGGCCTTCAGGGCCCATGGGAGAGTCTGGATTGAATTTGGGAGGCCGTGAGAACCTTTGGAGGCTTCAGTCAGAAGGGTGCACGGTTCTTGTTTGGGCTGATCGAGGTTTTCCACATCTTTATCCAATAAGACGCCTCCCCTTCCTCTCCCAGGACAGGCTTCTGAATGCCTGGCTGGTACTCGGAGACCCTGTTAGCACAAACCAAAGCTTTCAGAAAGGCCAAGTGTGCCAGTCTGTCTGCTGTCTGCTCCATTTCCGGAAGGGATGGGGCATTGATGGGGAGCCAGGCTGCTGCCTTACTTGATCAGTGCGCTTTGGCCACACAAGCTAGAGGCATTGTCCACTCTCCTGGGTGCTGGGTCCATGGTGCCTGTGTCCTCTGATCTGGGGGCCTGCAGAGCGACCAAGGAACAGCACCCAGCCTCTCCCATCGCACCCCTCTCTAAACAGTTCCCGACCTGAACTCCGCCTCCGTGGAGCCCAGAACGCCAGCATCAGTGGGGACCCTCCTGCTGTGGATGTACCTGGGCTGCCTGGGGCTGCTTCCTGGGGCTCTGGGGGCTGATGGTGATGGGTAGCGGAGCATCTCTTTGCTCGGCCCCAAGGCAAGGGATTGATCTTGTTCTCTCTGCCTGCAGGGCATTCCCGCCAGCATCACGTTTTTCAGTCCCTCTGGCCTGACACACAGTCTCAAGCATATTCAAGAGTTATCTGGTGACAACATTGACCAGATTAAGGTGAGGTGTTCAGTGGGCTTTTGATCTTTTTCAGATGCTCTTTTTTTTTTTTTTTAACTTTTACTAATTAGCCTAGAGTTTCCATGTGAGGTCAAAGCACTCCTGACCTCACAGACGCCCTGATGGAAGCTCTGTAGAAAAGGCAGGGCTGGACTACCCTGGTGGTCCAGTGGTTAAGACTCTGCACTTCCATTGCAGAGGGCTCGGGTTCCATCCCTGGTCCGGGAAGTTCCACATGCTGCACGGAATGGCCAAAAAAAAAAGGCCGGGCTTTAGGAGTCCCAGGTCCCCGCTTGCAGCTCAGCAGTGCCACTTCCTGGCTGGTGCTCTTGGACTAGTTACTTAACCTCTCTGAGCCTGTCTCCTCATTTGTAGCATGAGGATAATTATCCCTTTGTGGCTTTTATAGACATGTGTATGGTCCTCCCTGATAGGTTAGTCTCAGGATTAGATGGAAGAATTCAGGCAAAGTCCTTAGCTCAGGGCCTGGCACAGGTATTAGCATCCTTTCCCTTTTTCCCCATCTAACTGTCTTGAAATTGTTCTAAAAGTGATTCCCTTTTTCACGTCTTTTAATTCAAAGGATTTCCATTCGCACCTTTAGGGACTATTTGTTAGGAGTCTATAAGTAGTCACAGCCCTGTGGTGTCTGTGATGGGGATGTTCTTAAAGGGCTCAAGGGGGACTGAGGAGGGGGCGTGGGTATGACTGGGAGTGCCCAGGACAGGCCGCTAGCATTGTGGGCACTCACATAGCCAGGAGTGAAGGCCCTTACCTTTCATGACAGGTGCAGCTCACAGCACCCCTGGGGGGGTCAGGACTGTCTCAGTAGTATACACACTGCCGGCCCTCCCTCCACCCTGGCTGGCACACTCACTCCGGTCGGAACCCAAGGACGGAGCACGGGCATCAGCACTGAGCTATCGGGGGCACTGCTCAGGGACACTGTCTGCAGCCCGGGTCCAGCCCTGCAGGCAGGCTCCATGGGCCCGGCCAGGCCCGTGGTGGTGAGTCCGAGAGCGGAGCTCTCCAGACGACCTCTCTCCTATGACCAGACGATTTCCGAGGGAATAAAAGGCTCACGGGGAAAAGTCGTCTTGTGACCAAGCTGCTTCTCCTGAAGTTATGTCTGCTGTTTGCTGGTTCCCAATCTCAGGGAGTTTCTTTCTTCTTTCTTTCTTTCTTTCTTTCTTTTTTCCTTCCCTCCCCTCCCCTCCCCTCCCCTCCCCTTCCCTTCTTTCCCTTCTTTCCTTTCTTTCTTTCTCTTTTTTTTTAAAAACATCTTTATTGGAGTATAATTGCTTTACATTGTTGTGTTAGTTTCTGCTGTATAACAAAGTGAATCAGCTATACCTATACATATGTCCCCATATCTTCTCCCTCTTGCATCTCCCTCCCACCCTCCCTATCCCAGCCCTCTAGGTGGTCACAGAGCACCGAGCTGATCTCCCTGTGCTATGCGGCTGCTTCCCACTAGCTATCTGTTTTACATTTGGTAGTGTATATATGTCCATGCCACTCTCACCTTATCCCAGTTTACCCTTCCCCCTCCCTGTGTCCTCAAGTCCATTCTCTACATCTGCATCTTTATTCCTGTCCTGCCCCTAGGTTCTTCAGAACCTTTTTTTTTTCTTAGATTCCATATATATGTGTTAGCATACGGTATTTGTTTTTCTCTTTCTGACTT